CAGTCTATAAGGGAGTGATTTCCATCAGTTTTGTCCGAGGCACGGAGAATTGCGCCGACCTGATGACCAAGGCATTGTCGAGAGCTGTGACTTTACAACATATGGAGACGATCGGAGTTGTCAGGGCATTTCTCATTTCATTCGAAGCGCCGTATACGACTGGATCGGGAGATGGTTGTGGATCATGGATAAGGTCACGTGTACCGAAATCCTAATTGTTGAGTTTTGCGCATCACCGGAGTCCGAGATGAAGGAGGTCGGAAACCGTACCGAAGGTGTTGAGATATTGACTATCACTGAGGCGGATGACGGAACCCAATCGGACACGATCGAGTCAGTTCGGGAGCAGATGGTGAGCCACAGGAAGAAAGGAAAGCTTGTTGTCTTGTGGTCGTCAATTCCGTGTACCGGAGGATGTCCGTTTCAGTATATTTGCACCAAGAAATTTGGTCAGGACTACATGGGTCATCTTCGAGAATTGTACCGAATTCAGAAGAAGCTATGGAAAGGTTTCTTACGGATGTCGGAAGTAGCCGATTTTGTAGCGATTGAATTGAATGGCCGAAGAGATGTGCTTATTGGGGATGGAATCAGACTAGAGATTTTCTTAGGAAACGGAAGACGGTTTCAAGATTTGTGGACGCATGTTCAGTCAAGTTGAGCCAGAAAGGTCAATTGATCAGAAAGACCTGGAGGATTGATACCGATAGTACCCGATTGTTGGAAAGCCTGAAGGTTTGCGTTTGTGATGGTCGTCGTGATCATTTGCCGTCCAAGGAAGTCAATTGGAAGGAAACGCAGCATTACCCCAGGAAGTTTTGCGAGCTAATCCTTAAAGGATTTAAAGCCGAATTAGAAGCGTAAGAACCAAGCAAGTCTTGCACGTTGTCTGAGCCGAATGGCACGTTTTTGCGAGCACTTTCGATTGCACATTTCGAAAGAATCTTGGTTTTGGCAGACTGTGAGATAGAGCTTTTCTTGGAATGAAGCTTATACCATCCGAGGTATGATGCTGGATGTGGAAACGGCGCTTGCGGCGCTTAGCCTGGAAGCAGTGGCCGCTTTGGTCTTTGCAGTCGGTTTTCTTTGTGGGATGCCTGCTGACCTGCTGCTGCCTGCGGCGTCGGAAGCTTGCTGAGCCTGAGAGCCAAGTGAATTTTAAATTCGAGATGCCGAAGATCTTACTAGTTCCGAAAGGCATTGAGCAATGTTCAAAGGTGTATTTTTCAGTGAGTGGGAGCAAGGTTCATTTGAATCCAACTTGCTCGGGCATGCGCGTACCTATGTCGAAAGAGATTTGCGCCAAATGTCTGTCCTCATTGAAGAAGAATAAGAAGGCTTGAAGTCAGCCAGTTCGTTTCGAGCTTTGTGTCCAAGAGGGGGTGAAGAAATTCCATGTCGGGATGTCCACCTCGCTCGATGCTTGCAGTTTGCGATGCATAATTTTCGTTTGAGTTTGTTTGTAAAAGATTTGGAACCTGGCGGTAGTACAACATTTTGTTTCTTAATTGTTTGAAAGCGACTTGTAGCGTCGTCGGAAGTTTTGAAGGAGTTCTTTGCGTGTGGAGATACTTTAAGAGACTTTTAATATGTTTTTGATGTGTTCTTTGTATAGTTCAATGCTACGGGATATATTTTGGATCAAGGTCATTTCGTTTAGCCAGTGTGAGAAAAGGGTGCGAGTGTCTGAGAGCAGCTTGTGCAGCGTTTGAAGTTTTCCGCAGTGTTCGGAGGTTTGAAGGAAAGGTTTCGTACCGTACCGGACGAGTGTGAGAGCCTGTTGTGAGCTAAAGATCCAGGGGGAGTAGGTAGTCTACCGTATAAGGTTGCTACCCGATATTTTTCGCAAGTGGGCATATGGCACCATACCAGCCTTTTCACGTTTCACAATGTTTCACAAGGGCCATGCGTGAAGGAGGCGAACCTACTGATGAATGGCAACGCTATCCTTCCTGGATAGCATCTCGCGCACTTCCCGCACTCCCGAAGGCTTAGCTGTTGAGGAGCTTGCTGGAAATGTGCGTGACTCCTCCCTCTGTTGAGGGAGGTTTTGTCAGGCGCCTTCTGGCGCACTTGCAAGCAATGCCCTGCATCGGCAAACGCCCACCACAGGCCACAGCTTCTTCTGCCATTGCAATGTGTGAAACGATTGTGACCAGACGCTGACTGTTTTCCAAGGCCAGAACTGCATTGCACTCGAGCAAGTTCAAGATAACCCGCACTCCTTGGGAACCCTCAGGCACTGCTCCCCATTCGCAAACTGCTGAATTGACATCCTGCCTCTTCACAAATGCTGGAGTGCTTTCGAGCACTCCGTTGGCAAGCGCCAGTGATCAGGCCAGTCCGAACTAAGCTGAACGCACAAGGCCACTCCACAGGCATTGACAGCAGCTTAATCGTGAATTCGAGGCCCGGGTAGCAAGTTGCAGCAGTTCCCTTGTTTCACCATGTGTCACCCTGATGTACAGAGCGAAACTCTGATAGGAGCAGCGGCCAAACATGAGAGGATGCTCAAGACTCACACAATGTGAGAAAGTAGATACCAGATGGTACCACGCTTTCCAATGCCCCAACAATTCCAGCTCGTTGGAATGTGTGGAGTCCTGAATGGTTCATCTATTGGATGCTAGGAAGGGTCATGGGTCGGCGTCGTGATACAATGGATGCTGCGGAAAGGAACGCATACCCCTGAATCGGCAGCGCTTTTGCACATGACCTTGGCTGCGCTGGAAGCAGAACCTACACCAGAAGTGAGGAACAGAGCTCACATTTTTTGCTTACAACATGACTGACCTTGCTCCAGACAGTCAGTCGTCTGATGGAGAATGTCCTCGCCCTCCAGATGAAGAACCAGAAGCAGAATTGAGATCAGAAGATGGTTATTTCAATGAACACAAAGTCCCTGGCGGGAACTACGGCACAGAGATGGAGACAGAAGAAGTGGCAGCAACCGGAGTTGGAGAGTCAGCTGAGTTGACGAAGAGAATGAAGAGGAAGATAGCGATGTTCCAAACAGTGAATATACAGCAGAGAGGTACCGGAGGTACATGGATGCTCCGATGGAGGAGTGTTCAGATGCTGAATATTGGCAAGCATTGCATCATTTGAGCAGTGAAGAGTCCAATTACGAGGATTCGAATGAGGAGGTTGCGACAGACAATGAGGAACACACAGTTCCTGAGAATTGAGAGATTCAATATTTTGATGGTGAGCAATTCAATTTACAATGCGTGTTGCATGGAAGACTATAACCGTGCTCCAACTGAACCACGGACATAGCAAACGACAGATTTGTTGCGCAACGAAAAGCAGTGCAAGTTGGTTGCGTTGTAGGATGGAATCAACAACAATTTTTGTGGAAATGGTGTCTGAAAAGATACCGGAACGTTAGTTACATAGTAACTGTATGAAAGAGATGGATGATTTTTTTTTGTGGTCACTTCGCTGAACGTGATATCCGTCAATGATGTAATGATGTATGAACTAGAGCGTTCAACATCAAGGCAGGGGGGCAAGATGTATAGACTAACTTAAGGACACCTCTTGTTGCCATGTGAAGTATGCACTCGACCGGTAGCGTTTCGTGTCAAAATAGTGCGGACTCCGTTTGACATGCCAGCATGGCAACCACAGAGTCTGATCAAGACAGAGCTGTGGGTGGAGTGATCAATGACAATTCGATGGCTATGATGCCAAAAAGGCATGGATCATGAACACAATCCGCGAGCGTGGAAATTTGTGCACACCAGCGGGACGTTCAGGGCTCAGAAGCATTTGCAGGCTCTTGAGGTGCGTTGGTGGGGTCGACAGAGAAATGTGGAAGACCCCAAGATCAACCATGAAATGGAGATCCATGAGCCCTTTTTAGACAGTCCCGAGTTGCGCTTGTGAAATGACACTGGACGGCGCGAAGACAGCCGCAAGTGTCAAGGAGGAGTTGCAAACAGAAACCATTCACCTGCGCAAGGATGACACGCACATGCCGCAGACCGTCGGAGACCCTCTAGAGCGAGGTTCAAAAGGCACAGGAACTACAGCCGTGTTTTTGCTTGTGTTTGCCACGTTTCTTAAAAACTAGCCAACTGAACAAGTGCTGTTTGGGGTCGATGATGGTGTAATTTGTGAAGTCCGTTTTCTTTTTGTTTCCCACTGTGATTTTGTGGTTGCCTGCCTTTGTCGTCATGCGTTTCGAACTTGCATACCACTTGTGTGCCTGTGTGTTATTTTTGTGCCGCTGCAAGCATCAGCAAAAGCACGAGAATACCAAAGGGAAAGTGATTGCATGACCAAGATATTCAACACAGTTGGCATCAGTTTTTACGAGTTTCAGCAGAAACACAACAATTCACGATTGATGGCGTTTCACGGTGAGGTTTGGCAAATTCAGGAAATTTAGTGCCGAAAAACAGTCCGGTGGTCTGCACTAACTGGAACACCAGCTTCCAACAAAATGGACCAAAACAAAAAACATCAAATGTGTTCCAAAGAAAAAAATCATTGCTGTGATTCTTTTCATTGGATGGCCGCATTGACTAAACGCCGACTTCATTTCTTTATTACAGGGGGGGAGGGGAACAATCCACTCGATTCCCAGCTCTTGGAAGATTATTGACGTTATTGTGGGTGGCTTTGGTGACAATGGTCTTGGGGCCAAGCATTTGACGTGCCCCCCATCGTGCCCAAACCACACCAAAGGGAAGAACATGCATGCCACCCAGTGAACTATAGGTTTCCGTGTTTTGAGTTCGTCAATTCGCAACAAACCACAACCCATTTGTCATTTTGCGGTTTGGAACTGGATTCTATTCTTGTTTTTGTTTTGAGTTCTTGGTGGACACGCAGCGGCATCTATATAATTTAGTAGGTGCCGTTTCAGCTGAAAAATATGGCATTGTTGTGTAGAAACCAGTGAAGGGATCATGGATTGCTTGGAACTTTAAAACACAATGATTACAAAGCGTCCTTGTAGATGCATGCTTTGCATGTCCAGCGCAAGAAGTGCTCACAGCATTTGGCTCAGACCGTGGTTGCGAGCGGTCTCACATGTGACAGCATGGCAGAAGAGGAGGCAAGGAAACAAACTCTGGCCTCGCATCCCATTACCAGTTTTGTTTAGACATTTGCCACTGTTTCCAGGCACCCTTGCCAAGTTTCGACGCACCCTTGCCAAGTTTTTCAGCGGTGGAGGAACCTTTTCTTTCTGTCTTTCTTTGTTGCGTTTTTGTTGTGGAAGATGGATCAGTCTCATTGCTAGGAACCCGCCAAGAAGGACGCCGAAGAAACCAAGGCGGTGCAGGGTGAAGAAAAACCAACTAAGCCAGCTGAGCCAGAAACAGCGGATGCATTGGATCCGGCTGAGAAGAAAAGAAGAGCCAGAGACCTATATTCAGAAAGCAGAAATGGTGAACACCCAGAGTGTATTTTTTCGTGCCATGGTGAACTGAGGAAAGAGAGGATAAAGAGCGAAAGCGAAAAAATGAGAAGAAAAAGAAACTGAAAGAAAAAAAGAAGGCCACAATTTTTCTTCTAAACTTCAGACTCGTCCAATCAGTCTAGTGTCTTCACAAAACTGATTTGAACTGAAAAAACTTCGGGTTAGTGTGAGGGACTCTTTGGCGTCGAAAGTGAGGCTGCAAAGGCCGAGGAATACAAAGAGGCTGGTGTGCAGCCTCCAGGGAAAGGTGGTGGCAAGACTGCCAAAGGCCAGGGACGAATGAAATCAACACATCGGTTTCATTCGATGCTCGACCAAAGGCAAGGGCAAAGCTGCGAAGGGCAAGGCTGGACCGGGCCCACGGCTTGAGTTCATGCTTTCTTTTTGAGTTTCTTGTGACCCGTGAAGGCGGTGGGCAAGACACCTGGTTTGATTAGCAAGCCAAAGGATGATGATGAAATGGAGGCATATTAGCTGATTCCTAGCTGACTTTACGTTAACATTGCATTTTCTTCTTGCAGGTAGACTACGCCTGGACCTTGGGGCTGACAAATCCATGAACATGTGATGATTTGCCGAGAGTCTTTCTGGCGCGACGCAACAAACCCATGCAATGAGGTAGTACCAGAGGTTCTTGCGGGCAACGATCAGCCAGAAGATGAAACCTTCGCTGCAATCATGGAAAGGTTCAAGTACGTTGAGCCTACTCCGAAGGCACCCTTCATGACAATGTCTAGACTCTCTAGAGTCAGCAGCAATAAGTCAAAAACCTGATCAGGACGAGGCTGATGAGGATGAGGACAAGCCGCAGAAGCGCGCAAAGCCAAAGGCATCCCTGTTGGAAGAGGCGGAGGACTGACACACGGGTTTGATACAATGAGATTACGTGAAACAAAGGTATGGACTTGCCATTCTGAGAACAATAGCACTTTCAAGATAGAGACAGGCACAAATCAAGTTCAAGTAGCAGAGTTTGGAGGAATCGCAAGCTGAATAAGTCACATGAACAAAACTTCAGGCATCCAATGGATGTGACAAAGTTCAGTGCAATTCAGAGCGTAGGAAAGGTGCAAAGTACAGGTTGCATATTCATTTGGTATTGTACTGGTCGTATATTGTGTCTGAGGACAGCGATGATGATGATCAAGATGCGGGAAAGATGTCCAAGAAGAAGCGAAAGGTGCGACCACTTGTTCAAGCGGTGTATGTGGCTTCTCTCAGGCCTACCTACCCAATATGGTCTCACACAGACTTCTGCTGGGTCACCACATGACCTCCATAGTGACGTAAGGTGCAAAACCGAATGTCTGTTGCCGAGCTGAAGACCTTGGTCAAGCGTCCGGATGTGGTTGAAGTTTGGGTGCTGAACTGAGATGGCACACCTTTTTAGTTTGAGTGCGAAAAGGTCCTCGACCAACAAGCGGGCACGATTTAGTGAGCATGAATCTGACTAAGGATACAACAGCTTCTGATCCACGCTTGCTAGTCTATCTGAAGGCTGTGCACAAATGCATATATAGATGTTCTTCTCCAACTAATCTCTTTGCACATGACACAGGCATACCGAAATACTGTGGCTGTGCCCCGACACTGGAGCAGCAACAGCCTCATTTGGCTTGTGTTGTGTACTGCTTCCAAAGCTTTTGCACTCTCTCCGTCTCTCTCTCCCTTATCCTTTCGCTTTCCATGTCCCTACTCCCTCTCCCTCCCTCCCTTTCCTTCTTTTTCATTCCCTTTCCTGAGTCCTCAGGCAAGCGCAAGTATATGGCCGGCAAGCGGGGCGTTGAGAAGTTGTCACCTAAGACTTTTGTATTTTTTGGATCATGCCATACCAACTATCAACTCTTTCAAATTCTAGACGTTTGCCGATCAATGTCCTTTCATGAGGCCTCCATTCAAGTTGCCTGATTTCATCGAATCAACTGGCATTGCCAAGATTCGCCAGGCCAAGAGAATTGTTCTCTTGCAAGGCACTTCTGAGATTTGCTCTCGAGTTTTTCTGGTCATGCTAGGCGATTATGGAGAAGCAGGCGGCACAAATATGGCATCCATCGTATGCAGTTGGGAGTTATTGCACATGGCACCTTTCGCCTTAGAACCTGACTTGTCATGCTGTGGGCAGGCCGATATGTCCTTCAGGCAGAAGAGTCGAGAGCGGGTTCACCCAAAAATGGGAAAGCTAGACATTGACTACCAGGCAGGCTTCTAGCACCTACAGTAGACGAATTGATGCATGCACAACACAGATCTCTGGAACTTGTTGGATCTCTGGAACTCTCCACGCGACAGTTTGGACAGTCAAGCTTCTGGTTGAGGTTTTGCATGACGCCTTCTTTAAGTTTGCCAACAAGCCCAAGCTATCGACACTTGGATATTGACGTTTTTGTTGAGCTATTCACAGATACAAACCAGCCTCAGCGTCGTGATGACACAGCTTGGTTAGGAAGCACAATGACATGTACTACGAGGGCAAGGATCGAGATTCTTTTTTCACAAACCTTTGAACACATATTTCGGTGCTCTGGAGGAATGAACGAGATGCAACTCAATCATGGTAGAGCCAGTAGCGCTGTCTCAGCAATTATTAGAGTTCTACAGAGTGTGTTAAGGAAGCAAAGATACTCGAACCTATTCTTTTGTTGATTCTGTTCAGGAGTACGAGACCAAGATGCTGACCAAAAGGCCGCTTCCAACATTTTTTGATTTTTTTTGTATTCGGCCAAGAATTAAAAATCATTAATCCTTCAACTATCCGAAACTATCCTTAAGTAGCATGACAGAAACGCCATCCTGGTTTCTCAATGCTTTTTCGGCACTCAAGTGAGGCCTGGGCACCTGAGCGCAGCATTGAGAGAGGCTCGCTTTGGGGAAGACCTCTGTCACGCATTTTTGATCGGCTCTAACTTGTGGCCAGGCTTTGGGAATGGATGATGGAGCTCCTCCGCCTGAGACTCATTAGCCATTCCATTCCTTGTATCTGGGGTGATTGCTAACTAGTAGTCACTTAGTAGTCACTTGGTCACTCAGTCACTGCTTTGTTCTTTCCGCACCTGTTGGATGTGGAGAAACCAGGCCCTGGCTCTTCAATATGCAGCGTGGGAGCCACAGGTCACAAGCATTTAGGGGGATCGAGAGGGTCAGTGCGTTGAAGCGCACTGCAGAGTTGCAGTCTGTTTTGAGTGAAGAGTTAAGTTCATGGGCCCAACTCGTGATGTCAAATCCTCAGGCTATGGACCGCCTCCAGCGTATCCAAACTTGAAGATCCCAGGACTCAATGCACCAATTCCACAGGCACACGAACTGGTGGCACGGTGTGGAGTACTAGTACCCCACCTCGACATCGTATCCCATTCGTTCCCTGATTTTGTCCTACGGATCCCCCTAAGTGGGCCCCGACGAGGGCGAGGGTCTCCAACTTCCAAGAGGCCATCGCCCTTAGGTTGGAGGCCATCGCTCTTAGATTCGAGGCCATCGCTCTTAGGTTGGAGGCCATCGCTCTTAGGTTGGAGGC